GTCTCAAAAAAAAAAAAAAAAAAAAGAAAAGCCAAAAATCTGTCTCTTAAAAAAAAAAATTAAATACGGGCCAGGTGCAGTGGCTTGGGCCTGTAGTCTCAGCTGTTTAGGAGGCTGAGGTAGGAGGATCAGTTGAGTGTAGGAGTTTGAGCAGCCATAATCTGCCGCTGCACTCTATCCTGGGTGACAGATTGAGACCCTTTCTTTAAAAAATGTTTTTTAAGTACTGTTTTTAATCTCACGTTATTTCTCTCCCATTTTTTCTTCATCGATTGTACAGACAGAGCGCCAAGTGTCTCGCTGGTTTGTTCAGTGTCTTCGGGAACAGTCCATGCTGCTAGAAATTATTTTCCTTTATTATGCATACTTTGAGATGGCACCCAGTGACCTACTTGTATTAACCAAGATGTTTAAAGAGCAAGGATTTGGTAGTAGGCAGACCAATAGGCACCTGGTGGATGAGACTATGGATCCTTTTGTAGATCGGATTGGGTAAGTCAGTGAATTGAACATCATGGAACTTGCAGTGTTTAGAGCATTGATACTATAGTGGTATGAAAGCAGGTTGGGGGTAGGTGTACTTTTCACTTAATGGGTGGGAAAATAGGTCTACTACCATGTTCCCTTTCACGCAGGGAGTAAAGACTGGGATTGAGAGAGGACTCTCAAAATGAGTATTGTAATCTCTTTTACTTACTGTCTTCATTTAAGGGATTCATCCATTCAACAAAAATTCGTTGAACAACTATTATAGGCCAAGCCCTATGCAAATGCTAACAAGATTGTGATAAATAAGGCATATGTGCTCACTGTTCTCTTTCAGGTGATAGTCTATGGACTTTAAATTTCTTGTTTTTTCTATATTTATGACCATGGATATATCCACAATCGGGGGCCTGGTCACTCTGTGAGCAAAGATACATACCAGTTAATTTTGTGTGTCTGTGTGGTATAAATGGGGTCTCACTTTGTTGTCCAAGATAGTCTTGAACTCCTGGCCTCAAGTGATCCTCCCACCTCTGCCTCTCAAAGTGTTAGGATCACAGGCATGAGCCACCATGCCTGGCCCAATAGGTTTTTTTGATATTGCTGTGTCTTATATCTCACCTTTGTCTCTAGTGAGTTTCAGAACAGGATATATAACATGGTGATACTGTTTTTCTTTCTAGCTACTTCAGTGCCCTCATCCTGGTGGAGGGCATGGATATTGAGTCCTTACATAAGTGTGCTTTGGATGACAGAAGAGAACTGCACCAGTTTGCGCAGGATGGGCTTATTTGTCAGGTGAACTTGGAATAGGCTCTTTTTTTTCAGAGGGTTTATGTTAGTAGTAGCTTTCAACTACTGAACTGCTACATAAAATTTTCAGTGTTGTGGAACTCTACATTGTTCAGTGATGTGGAGGTTCTACAATGTTTTTGTTTTGTTTTGTTTTTTTGAGACGAAGTCTTGCTCTGTCACCATGCTGGAATGCAGTGGCAGGATCTTGGCTCACTTCCATTTCCACCTCCCCGGTTCAAGCGATTCTCCTGCCTCAGCCTCCCAAAGAGCTGGGATCACAGCTAATTTTTGTATTTTTAGTAGAGACTGGGTTTCACCATGTTGGCCAAGATGGTCTCGATCTCCTGACCTCGTGATCCTCCTGCCTCAGCCTCCCAAAGTGCTGGGACTACAGGCTTGAGCCACCGTGCCCAGTCTGTTTTGTGTTTTTGAGACAGAGTTTTGCTCTTCACCCAGGCTGGAGTGCAGTGGTGCCATCTCAGCTCACTGCAACCTACACCTCCCAGGTTCAAGCGATTCTCGTGCCTCAGCCTCTGGAATAGCTGGGATTACAGGCCCACGCCACCACGCCCGGTTACTTTTTATATTTTTAGTAGAGATGGGGTTTCACTATGTTGGCCAGGCTAGTCGTGAACCCCTGACCTCAAGTGATCCACCTACCTCAGCCTCCCAAAGTGCTGGAATTACAGGCTTGAGCCACCGTGCCTGGCCTCAACAGTGTTAAACAGTTGATTAGACCTGGAGGAAATCTCAGGTTCGTCAGTCATCTATACTAAGGTGATAATTGAATCTGTGAGAGTGATTCATTCATGGAGATGGAACAAGGACAAAAGAGATTCAAGGAGAAAACCCTGGGGATTATTGACTGCATTTAGGGAGCCTGTGAAAGAAGAGGAAAGGGGAAAAACATTGAGATGAGATGGTTAGGAAGATAGAAAATGAACACAGATTGTAGAAAGTTTGAGAAGGATCAGGGTAAAATTTCGAAAGAGTATCTATTTTAACATGCATTTTGTAATCTTAAGACTACATAAAATTAGTAGACAAATTTTGTGGGTAAAAGGAAGAGTAATTGTAATTGAGGAGTTTGTTAGTGAGGTGACTGGGGGTTTGAGAAAAGTGAAATATCAGAATGAGAGAGTGAGGCCAGTCTTAATGACTTGCTTATTGAGCATGATGAAGAATCTGGTCGAGGGATATTGAGGCTTTCTGTTCAGAGATGTAGATGTGTTTTCTTCTCTCACTAGGATATGGACCGTTTAATGTTGACCTTTGGGGACATTCCACATCATGCCCCAGTTCTTTTGGCCTGGGCTCTCCTCCGTCACACTCTGAACCCAGAAGAGACAAGTAGTGTGGTCCGGAAGATAGGTGGCACAGCCATCCAGCTGAATGTGTTTCAGTACTTGACCCGATTGCTCCAGTCACTTGCCAGTGGGGGAAATGATGTGAGTTTAAGGCTCTGGGTGGTGAGCATGGGAGTGAGCTGGCAGAAGCATTTTAATAATGTAATAGTTATAATGGTGGTGTGGATAATGGGATCATGTTGTAACCTTTTGAGAGCATTTAGACATCATCAGACATTGTTTGAAATGTTTGTGAACATTATCTTATTGAATCCTTATAATACTTCTTTGTGTTAAAGATTATCATTCTGTTTTACACATTAGGAAATTGAGACTCAGAGAGATGTAATTTGCCCAAAGCAACAAAAATAGCCAGTAAATGGTAGATACAGTTTGAACTCTGCCAGTAAATTATATCTTAAGATAGCTTTGGCCATATTGACTGGAGAAGTCACTTTCAGGGGACTTAATCAACTGTAACAAGATGAATTAGAAATTCTCTTGAGTCTTATGTTGGGGTTTGAGTGACATAGTTTAGAGAGCTTGTTTGTTTGTTTATTTTTGAGACAGTCTCGCTCTGTCACCCAGGCTGGAGTGCAGTGGCGCGATCCTGGCTCACTGCAACCTCCGCCTCCCAAGTTCAAGCGATTCTCCTGCCTCAGCCTCCCAAGTAGCTGGGACTATGGGTGCCTACCACAACGCCTGGCTACTTTTTTGTATTTTTAGTAGAGATGGGGTTTCACCATCTTGGGCAAGCTGGTCTTGAACTCCTGACCTTGTGATCTACCTACCTCGACCTCCCAAAGTGCTGGGATTACAGGCGTGAGCCACCGTGCCAGCTAATGAGCTTGTTTTAACATGGTAAAATGAAACCTCAGGTTCAGTAATTATTTTTTCTTTTTCTTTTTTTTTTTTGAGACTGAGTCTTGCTCTATTGCCCAGGATGGAGTGCAGTGGAATGACCTTAGCTCACTGCAACCTTTGCCTCCTGAGTTCAAGTGATTCTCGTGCCTCAGCCTCCCAGGTAGCTGGGATTACAGGCACCTGCCACCATGCCCGGCTAATTTTTGTATTTTTAATAGGGACGGGGTTTCACCGTGTTGGCCAGGCTGGTATCGAACTCCTGATCTCAAGTGATCTGTCCACCTTGGCCTCCCAAAGTTCTGGGATTACAGGTGTGAGCCACCGTGCGCTGCCAGATCAGCAATTATTTTACTCCTTGGTTGGTATGCATTTGCCCAAAGGAGTTGAAAAGATAGCCACACAAAAACATACAGACATTTATAGCAGCTTTATTCATAATTACCAGAACTCGGAAGCGACTAAAAGGTCCTTCAGTAAGTATAACTAAACTGTTGTATATCTAGATGATGGAATATTTATATACTGCCAAAAAAAAATGAGCCATCAAACCATGAAAAGACATGGAGAAAACATTAAATGCATATTAGTAAATGAAGCCAATCTAAAAAGGCTTCATAGTATATGTTTCCAACTATGTGACATTCTGGAGAAGGCAAAACCATGGAGACATTAAAGAGAATAGAATAACGTTCTAGTGGAGCAGGAGGGCTGAATTAGGTAGAACACAGAGGATTTTTAGGGCAGTGAAGCTATTCCATGTGATACTACAACGGTGGATACATGTCATACTTGCCCAAAAATCCATACAATTTACAACACAAGAGTGACCCTTAGTGTACACTGTGGACTTTGTGTGATAATAATAATGCCAATTTAAGTTCTTTAGTTGTAACAATTGTACTGTTTTGGTGGGATGCTATTTATGTGTGGAGGCAAAGAATATATAGGAAATCTTTGTACTTTTCTGCTCAGTTTTGCTGTGAACCTAAAACTGCTCTACAAAACAAAGCCTATTTAAAAGACAGAAAACTCAGCCAGCAGGCCCTACTTGTCACTGGTTGGCTTATCTTGTGGCCGTTCAGGTGCTATATCAATTCCCATTACCACATGCAGACTGTTTTCTGTAGGCTGGATATGGTTTTCTTCCCCACTCAAACTTTGATGATTTTGGCAATAATTCCCTTTTGATTTTACTCTTGATTTTGTTGTAATATTTGTGGTTCCTGCTTCCTCTTTTCTCCCTTTGTCTTCCTGAGCTTGTAACTAAATTAGGAAAATTATGAAGCTTCAGATTTCCTTTCCGTCTGTTTACGAAGAATATATGAATGCGATAGGATTATGTTGAACCTGGGAAAGAGTTATGTTACTCAGAATGATTCACTGACTCCTTTCTCATTCCAGTGCACCACCAGCACTGCATGCATGTGTGTCTATGGACTGCTCTCTTTCGTTCTGACCTCGTTGGAGCTGCACACACTGGGCAATCAGCAGGTAGTGTCTGGCTTTCATGAAGCTGTCTCTACTGCCCAACTTTGCAATCAAGTCCCAAAAATATACCCCCGTTGGATCTGATACTGTTTACCTCATGTGTTAATTTGTTTACTGGTGTTCTTTTTTTTTTTTTTTTGAGATGGAGTCCTGCTCTGTCGCCCAGGCTGGAGTGTGGTGGCGCGACCTCGGCTCACTGCAA